GCGCGACGTCATTTTAAAAAAAAGCTTTAAAGACCTAGCTTTTTCTACAGGCATATCAACTTCCTTTTAAGTATTTTATAAGATATAAAATTAAGATTTGTTTTTTTATATTTATATATTCTAAATACGTATATGTTGAAATGTTAAAAAAATATAAAAAAAGTATTAGTATTGAAGTCAATGTCATTATTATTGTTATATTGTTTACTTTTTTACAAATTTTATTGTTATTCAATTCTTATTACTGTAAAGCGCATATGAACTTATGGATATTTGCGCTATATAAATAGCACATTATTATTATTATTATTATTATGTCATCTGACAGGTCTATGTGAGGGTGTCAATTGGGGTACACAATAGTCAGTTACTACTAATTTTTGGGTCAAAAGTCAATTAACTACTATATTTTTGAAAAGTCAGTTAACTAACATCACCAATACTGATTTGCGCAATCATTTTACGTATATGGGTTGTAATAAGTTACTAGCAACAGTTCTGTATCGATATTTACGTAAGATTATACAACTTTTCAGTAAAATCAGACGTTTTGATTGGTTGGCTTTCGTGTGTTATCAAAGTATAGATACACGGATTACGTCAAAACTAATTGTTTGTTGTATAAAACAGATAGATCTCATTTTTCCGTGCGTGTGTACTCTAATAGATACACAGATGACGTCAAAATGTAGYGAGAACAACAGTCACGCACTCGACTGCGTCTCGTGCGTACTTTTTTGTTCTCACTACATTTTGACGTCATCTGTGTATCTATTAGAGTACACACGCACGGAAAAATGAGATCTATTTGTTAAATACAATGACAAATATCTCATAAGTTTTCATTGATTTTGAACATAGTTTGTAGAGGGAAATGGTTAGGAATAGTTTTGTTGTAGGTTTTTGTGCACTTTTTTTAAGCGTGACCATGCACAATCTTTTGTTTAACTATTTATTACAAAATAGTGTTAATTAAAAAATAGAAAACAATAGAATTTGCATAATTTAGTAGTATTTTTGGTTATGTTTATGTTGCACAGTTTTAGTGTTTGTACTCTATATAAAACTAGACGATCAGCGATCGTTTACATGGGCTTCCTGTGGTATATCCCAATCAGTAAATGATATTGAACCCTAATGAAATTAATATTACTAAGACAACAGCAAAAAAAGTTTTCCTTTAATGAAAAATAATCAAAACAAGCAATGTGCTCAGTAGAATTTAATAATATTGTGAAAGAAGTAATTTATGTTCGACGAGCCGTTACTTTAAGAGTCGCAGTTTTTCTTCAGTATAAATCTGTTGACATCTCTTAGTTAAGTCCTTGGTGATTGTAGAGCCTGTGCTAGTATAAGTTAGCTTTTGATAAGCTAATGTTCGATAGATAATTCACGATCGGTAGATTCACGATAAATTCGCCGTATCTCTCCAAATGCCCTTTTGAGAAACGCTCGAATTTTTTTAGCGCGTTGTTACTTAACGCGCGTTTGAACATGTATGAGGCTGGAAACTAGAGTTCGGCAATATCCTGAAGGTATTGGTATTCAACCCTGCTTTTTTATTTGTTTATTTTTCCTTGCATGAAAAATTTTTAAAAGAAACTCAATTACACGTTTTTATCCGTCCAGTTAACCTCATGTAGCATGCAAATGAGTACAAAGAATTGTGCAAACACTAACCCTGTGTATCACAGGAAATTTGATTAAAAGGTTTTTGTTTTGTTATTTACTACTACCAAAATAGCGGGGCAACAGTAGCGGGTATTTTAACAATATGAATGTGCCCCCGACTGCCGGGGGAAATGTTTCATTTTAACACCACTCAAACGTTAAAGGAGCCGTCCCAGGGTGATGCTTTGCGCRCCTCGAATTACAGCGAAGACCTTGATCAGCGCCATTTTCGATGACATCGAAATTATTTTTAGTGATAGCTTACACAATMCGTCTAAAATCTGAAACATCTCTAGGTTTTTCCTTATAAATTCGATATATATTAGTTCTTTATGTAACATATATTCATTTTCTTGAATTATTTCGAATATTGAGTCTTTTTTAAACGTCTTATTTTGAGTTTGCCGATATGGCTCCAAATCAACGTAACGGAAATCTTCTCGCGGTCGTCCACGCCGGAAAGAAGAAATAACTGAGGGATAYCACGTTCAAAAGGCCACGACATACGAACCTTGGAAGGAAACAAAGGACAGAATGGGTCTTTTACAGTTGARTAATAGTGAGTTTGTGGAACTGCTGCTTCGCCGACAGCCTGCAGTGTTTTTATTCTGCTACACGAATTTTTGCAAAGCCACGATAAAAATACAAATCAGCCGTTATTTCTACTACAAAAGAGAAGACGAATACTCATTAGAATACTCATTAATGATAGAGTTAACTAATATTGCACTTCTACTCCTTTGGCGAGCTTGATCGGTCGCTACTTCATCTTGTTCGGCGTCCGTTTCATGGCTCGAATATTCGAAGAAACGTCTAATTCATCACCTAATTAGCTACCGACGACCCGTATGCATTCACAGCGTGTAGTTTTGGCCATAAACAGGCATTTTAGATCGAGATCTAGTAAGAATTTTTGAAAATATTAAAGATACTTTGCTATTATTCGTTTAACACGTTGGAMAAATGCCGTATGTAAACAATAACATAAGCGCGCAAAGCATCACCCTGGGACGGCTCCTTTAAATTCCCCGGTATTCCCCGGGGTTCGGGGGTTTCAATTGACTAGTGCATAATAGCGGCGAGACCATCATCTCTATAGAGGCCTACTTTGTCACCGAGTTTGGCCTGTATAGTTGTGATAGGAGAAAGCAGCCGACCAGTTCGCAGGTTTCGTGAGTTTGAGTTCGTTTGATGTGCTGTTCTCTCCCTTGCCACGAGGGTTTTTCTCCGGGTCCTCCGGTTTTCCTCCCTCAGCAAAAATCAACATTTGAGGAGTGTTGTGTGCTAAAATACTTAATGTAGAGGTAGTGAGTGTGAGAGTACAGGGCCCGCAGTAATTGGCTCTCGCTGTTGCGATGTCCCTGCCCATACTAGGGGCAAAGCTAATAAATTTTTCTTTTGCCATAGTTGTTTGTAACTCAGTTGTTTGTAAATAGATAAGTACGTATAGATATATATAGATAGTGATATAGAGTGAAGTCAATGAACC